TGAATTCTGATAAAAATTGATTTAAAAAATAAATTTCATTTTAAATTCTATAAAATAATTGAATTTTGGAAGAAGTTCAGTTGTAATTTTTAGAAATAATTAAATTTCAGATTTCTGCTATGAAATTATTTGAAAGTTTAATTCCTTTGGAAAAATAAATAACTAAAAGTAGAATAATCTATTTGCAATTGGCAATTAAATTTTTATCGAATTTTTATCAAATTTTTAATCAAATTTGAATAGAAGTTCAATCAAATTTGTCTTAAATTGACTCAAATTACATGTAATGAACTAATAGATATTAAATGCATAAAATTGAATTATTAATAAAATTCATAAAATATAATAAAGTTTGAAAAAAAGATTAGATCATTAGATTTTCAATTTTCGACAGAAATAAATTTGATTCTTTTTCGATATTCGTTTTAGTCTCTGAACTTTTTTCTTTTATAAAATTTTCAACTTTTTCTATGTATAATGGGTTCAGTATTTTTTTTTTTTTTTTTTTTTGTTAGGTAATTTTAAATGTACGCTTCTGAACAAAGTAGATATAGTTATATTTTTTGTAACATTTACTAAGTGAATAGGTCTCTATATGGTAAAATGACAGCTATTTTACAGCACACTTTCGTCAACTGTGGCAGGTACAGTTCGTTATTCTAATAACATTATATTACTATATTTATGCGCACTCTCGAAAATTTTACTAGGCAAGAAATTTTTTCTCTTTTTTTTTATCAATTTACTCTGTTTTTTTTACAGTTTTACATACATACTCGACTGAATAAGTAATGCGTTCTTTTTAACTACACGGAAAAAATTTTGGTGCATCATTTGCGCTGCCTATAGTACAGCTGTTGTACCAGTAGTTCGGCGCACTGTTATCTCGTTTTGGCGCGTCAGATGCACGAAAATGGGACGTATGTTATCCGTATAGGTGTAGTATATCGTTTGCTCTATTAAATAATGCAGAGGGCTCACCAAAAGGGTGCGCCTGCTGTCACAAAACGGTACGTCTGCTATACTAAGCGCTAGGACAACATTCGTCCTGCGGTTTGGTATAGCTCGTGCACTAGTAGGAACGACTGGTGCACCAAAATTTTTTCCGTGTATGTACACGAATTTATTTTTTATTCGAAAAAATGTCCAACTCGTTTATAGCCAACAGTGAAAAATAAGTTTAAGAATAATAAATCAGGGATGTTTTTTTTTTAATTTGAGAAAAATAATTTACTATCTAAGACTCTATTTTCTATAGAAAATTATTTTTTAAGTGGAAATTGTTACTATGAGAAATTTCTGTTTTCAACTGCAAAATAAGAGGAAAAAAAAATTGAAAACACCTTTTTTTATTGATAACATTGTGCTTGGTCATTTTTTCGTTTTTTAAAATAATTTTCATACAAACGTAGTGTATGCGCACTAAAAAAACTCATAAAAACTTCCTTATATTCATTCTCCCTTTTTTTCTCAACAAACTAATTCAATTTCTTCAATAATTTCAATTTTTGTTTTATTTTATCAATTTACAATAGTGTTTATTTAATGGATATTTATTGTATATATATATATTTATAATTTTTTTTCTCTCGATCAGTCACTATCATCAAGGCAATTTTATGAGGGTAACATTGCCAAGGGAAAAATAAATTTTTTATATTTTTTTTAAATATATATATATTATATTTTCGATAAATTTACATCATTATATATATATTTTTTAAGGATTTCGCAAAACATTGATTTTACAGAAAGACTCATTTATTAATTCATTTTCATATTCCTTAATCTTTTTTTCTGTTTTATTATTTATACAGAATTTCTATACATAATGAATATAATAATCACCGAAATTTTTCATTCCTAGAATTTTTTTTTTTTATTTAAAAACAAAAGTTTTCTTTTTACTCTCTTGGGATTTTTCTTCTAATTTCTTTTTCTTATTTTACTCGTGTTAACATTTAAATGGAACATACGAAATGAAATTTCAATTAGAAAATAAAATAAATAGTCAGCAGGTTAAAGTATTTTTTTTTGGTTTTTTCGCTTTTAGGAGAGTAGTTCTTTTATTCATTCCTTTTTTGAGGAACAAAAAATGTGTATGTTAATTAAATATATGAAAAGTTCGTCCATTCCTGGGAAATTATGATTCTCTAAGAATTATATTATTAAACTAAAATTAGAATTAAAAGAATAGTAATGAGAATAAAATAAGAAAATATAAAATATAGTAAGACTATCAAGACTTTTAATAATAATAATAATTATTATTTTTCTTATTATTATTATTGTTATTAATTATTGTTATTATTATTTATACCTTGTAATTTTTCAATTTTTATTTTATTTTTTTATTTTTTTTTTAAATAAATTTTTAATTTTAAACAATTTTATTTTTTCACTTTGTCAAATTATTTTCAAATATAATTATATTTTCGAAAAATTGGAAAATTTTACAAAAAAAATTATTTTATTATAAAAATTAAAAAAAAATCTTTTTATTTAAATAATTCAATTCTCGTAGTTGAATTCTGATAAAAATTGAGTAAAAAATTTCATTTAAAATTTTATAAAATAATTGAATTTTTGAAGAATTGCACTTGTAATTTTTAGAAATAATTAAATTTCAGAGTTTTGCATTGAAATTAAAAATTTTAATTCCTGTGGAAAAACAAATTTTTATAAATTTTATTACTATTATAGCAATGATAATGCAATGAAAGAAAATAAAAATAATAATAATAATAATGTTAGCAATAATATTAAATCTTTATGAAACTGATACTGAGATTGAAGGATATTATGGAGATTAAAAAAAATACTTTCTTTTTTTTCGAGAGAGAATGCTAATATGCAAGTGAATATAGCTTGTCTTTAGCATTATCCAAACTACGTTTAAAACTCGATCAAAAAACTGTTTAAAAGTCGTGCATATTATGGAAAAAAAAGATAACAAAAACGAGTAGATTCGGAAAGAAACTTTAAGTCGTCTCGTTGAGCATTATATATATATATATATATATTTCTTAGAAAATCTTTTTCCCTTTTTCTCTTTCATTCATCTTCACTTCATCCAACACGTGACCTTTTCTTTTCTTTCTACCTACACTTTTAGTCTCTCACTTATATTGATGACAATAGTACTCTCAAAGCTAGCAAATTACTGACATCGACAAATGACTTGAAAATTGTGACAATTATTGGATTTCATTTTCTTTTATATAATGGAAAAGAAAGAAAGGAAAAAAAAATTAAAATTTTTTCTAATAACAATATTTAAATGAATTTTTATTTTCGCTATTTTAAGTTTTCTATATACTATATATATCAACGCCATATACTCTCGATTTTTTTTTTTGCGAAAATATTAATTTTCAATATTATTGAATTAACAATTAACAATTTTTTCTACATTTATAAAAGTTAAATTTATTTTTAAATAATTTTTTTTTTAAGATAAAATTTCCCAATTGACTACATATAAATAACTAAAGCGAATTGATTTTTTAGCTTTATCGAGAGAATTTTATAATTGATTTTATTGTTGCAAATGATATGAAAAAGTTTTGTTTTTCAAGGGAAATTCATATATAAGTGGAATATATAGATAAATTTATTCTGTGCATTAATAACAAGTTTTGTGTTTCATTCATTTTGACATTCTGAATTAATGATTTAAAAAACGAAATTATACAAAAAAGTGGCATTTTGTAATTATTTGCATTTAATATCGTCATTTTCATTGTTTCTACAAATTTTAAATATTAATGAACAAAAAATAAATTATATTGTAATTTTGTTTTGAATTGAAATTTATTTTCCCCGCAAAAAAAAATATGATAGAGAGAATTTTTAAATAGAACATTTAAATTTTTCATAATAATGCAGTATTTAAAATGCGCAATGAATTGTATAATTTCCAATGATTTATATTTACATTTTGGGAGTACAAAGCTATAAAAGGTACCATTTGTTTTTTTTTCACTTTTTAATCGTATTTATTATTATTGTTATTTCTAGACATATTGAAAACAATATAAATGGTACCAATATAATATTACCAACAATTATCATTCGGGAATTATTTTTCTATATATACATGGAACAATGAACATTATATTTATATTTACAATTCTATATTTTTCATGAAAAATTCAATTCTCCTCGTTTTAGATTAAAATTTGCCTTCTGAATTGTTTTACCAAGTACTTCCGGTTTATGTGGTACTTATAAAATATGAAACTAATTAGAAAGGGGAAGATGGAAAAAAAATGAAAAGAAAATTCAATCAAGCAATAAATCTCTCTCTTCTATATTTTGTTGGAACCAATAGTATTATAAGACTTGTCTAACTTCACTACTGAAACACGTGTGCCAATTAAAACTTATGATTAGCATGAGAGCTTATTTGCAACATAACGAAAAGATGCCTCGAGGATACTATGCTGATTTGCATTTCCCCACCAATGTTTGTGAGTGTGTGTCTCAGTCTATATATATGAAATGCGACATCATTAAATTTTTTTCTCTTTATTTCTGTCTCATTTAGTTTTTTCTAGGTATACTTAATCTTCTTTGAAGATTAAAGTATAATTCACATTCACGTTTCATCAGAAAACGTTTAAACTATATGTACACAGCATTCAATATTAATTGATATTATTAAAGAGCAGCTACTGAGATTATATGCTGCACTTCCGCTATACAAGGCAAGATTCACTTTTCACATATTTATATTTCTTTCTCATTTCGTTGAAATCATATAATTGAAAAAAAAACGAGAAGAATAAAAATTCAAAAATTTATTACAAAGAAAATAATTACTTAATTTTTCGTAAAACTAGGAGAGAAAATAATTATTTCTACATTTATATTTATATTAATGATATGAATTCATAAATGATATGAAAATTTAATATTTTTCTCATTTGGAAGCATTTAAAATTTTTTTTTTTTTCATTAAAAAATAAATCTTTGTACAAAATGATATGTTTCGTTGATAAATTAAAAAAAAATACCAGAGGATTTAATATTTTTTTTGTTTGTAATAATTTTTTTTTTTTTTTGATAAAGGAGAACAAATTAGTTTGCAACCGATGTTTGAAATTTTCCAATAAAATAGAAATTAAATTTAATTGAATTATTATTACATAAGAGCGTACTTAACTTACATCGATGATTACATCTTCGCTTTGTGAAGAACGCTTTCAAATGCAGTCTATGATTGTCTTTTGTCACGAAATGTATGTTTCTTTTTCTCGATTTCCTTTTTTTTCGTTTTTTTTTCATTCCATTTTCCCTCTGCATTGCGCGCATATTGGATTTTATTTCTATAGAAAATCCTTATTTATTGTTTGTCTTTTATTTCCTAAATTCAGTGGACTAATTGATGTCGCAGGAGGAGCATGGATATTAAAAGTAATAATGATGGAGTGTATAAAGTGGCATGACCATGAACTGAAACAGAAATATTTTTTCATAGGTGAATTATTCACAGTTTATTGAGAGAAATTATTACTGAAAAATAAAACAAGATATTAATTATAATATTAAAAAATATTAACATATTAATTACAATTAATTTCAATTTGTAGGAAATTTAAAAAATACCTGTCTGACTAAACTTAATTTGTACTACTGAAAATAAAAATACAACCATGAGAAGTCCACTGTGATTTAAAGAGAATTTTTATTATTTTTACTAATTAAATAAAAAACATTGAGACTTTATTTGACTAAACTTGAATTGAACTACTTAAAATGATAAAAAAAATGTTTGCCTAAACTGACCTTGTACTACTGAAAATAAAATTACAATAACAAGCAGTTTAGTAGGAAAAAAAATGATTTTTTGCTAATTCAATTTCTGAAAATACTCTGTCTGACTAAACTTGCCTTTTACTACTAAAAGCAAAAATAAAATTACGAATTGATTTATTCGGAGAAAAATAAATTTTTACCAGTGAAACTTCTAAAAATAATTTGTCTGACTAAAATTGACTTGTACTACTGAAAATAAAATTACAAGAACCAGCAGTCTATTCTAATTAAAAAAAAATTCGGTCTGACAAAAATTGTCTTATACTACTGAAAAGAAAAATATAACAACTAGTAGTCAATTCTGATTAAAAAATAATTTGTATTACTTTTGTAAAAAAAACAAGACCTCAGTCTGACTAAACTTGTTTTTTACTACTTAAAAAATAAGTAAAATGTCTCATTCAACTTGTCTTATACTACTGAAAATAAAAATAAATTCCTACTAGATAAATTTCTAAAAATATTCTGTCTGACTAAAATTGACTTGTACTACTGAAAATAAGAATACAATAATCATTAGTCTAGTAAAATTAAAAAAAAAATTCTATTACTCAGATATTAAAAAAATTACTCTGTCTGACATTTGTCTTATACTACTGAAAAAAAATACAACAACGAGTAGTTGTATTTTCACTCTGTCTTACAAAATTAATCTTTTACTACTTATGAAAATATTACAATTAGTTTGTTGACTTGTACTACTTGTATTACTCATAATGAATTCATGTAGTTTTTTCTCTGACAAAAACTTTGTACTAATCAAAAACCCAACTTTTTCTAATATATTTTACTAAAGTTGACTAATACTACTGATTATGAATTAACATAGTTTTTTTTCTTTAACAAATTTCTTCTAGTTAAAAACAAACATAATTTTTTCAACATGTCTGGCTAAACATGATTTATTCTACTGATTATTTCCTGAAAACAAAACACGAAAAAATGATTAATTATTCACATTTTAATTTTTAAATGATACCTTCAGAAATATGATAAAAGGTTTTCCATTTAGAGAAAAAAAATTTTTTCACATAGGTCAAAAAATGCTTATATGGTAAAATAATTTATTCTATATGGTACTCGAGGATTATTGAATTGTATACACAATTTTTTAACCATTCGCAGATGTTATAATATAAAAGATTAAAATGTTGTTGCACAAATCCGCTTTTTTACAAAGTATTATTGAATTTTAATCCTCTTTAATCTTGCAAAAACTCTCATTCTTTGAACTAAGCACAAATATACAATATTAAAAAATTATAAATATAATATACAAATATACTCCAAATATACTACTGAGAATTTCTTTCCACAAAACATTATTTTTGAAAATTTTCCATTATTCTAAAATATCAGAAATCCCTGTTTCATTTTTTTATAAGGATCTTATTTTTTTCATTCGATTCAAATATAGTTTACACTTTTAAAGATTGTATAATTTTTCAAATAAAAAAAAAAAATTAGTAGAAATTAAAAAAAAAACTGGATACTTTTATAGAAAATGAAAAATCACCTTTCTGAAATGGTTTATTTCAATTAAAAAAAAATGTTTTAAATTCAACAGTGAATTTGGGTCATTATTGATTTTTTAATAATCCACGGATTGTTTACAATGGAATGAAAACAATTTCTTGATTACATTGACATATCAAATAGCATATAAACACACATTATATAACTCGATAATAACGACTCTAAACTGGAAAAAAATTATTTCATTTAAATCATAATTTGCTTGTATATTGTCAAATAAACATATTTATTCGTTATTTGATAATTTTCATTTATGTAGTCAATAACATATTTGCTTTTTATACCGAAATTCTTTTATTTTGTTTCAAAATAAAATGTTTATCTGTTTATTTGTTTAAAAATAAAATGTTTATCTGTTTATTTGTTTAAAAATAAAAGATGTATTTATAATTTTTTGTTTGTTTGTTAAGATTTATAACAAGTTTCAGAGTGAATTTGTGACATTTTGTGATTGTACAGTGGAACAAGTTTTTAAGAAGTAACTTGGTTAGAGTAAAAAAAAAGACGAGTTCAAGTTAGACAGTAAATGCGAGAGGCGTTCCACGAACGATTCGTTCTAACGAGAAAATCGAAGATCGTTAAGAGTAATTTCTTCCAGTCGCTCCGCGGCTTTTCCGGTTTACCTCTCTTCTCTGCTTTTTCCTGTTTCTTTAGATTTCACCTATTAGTCGTATCGCTTCTTACCAATCTCCCATCAGATTTTCCCTTTACCTCAACTAACGAGAATACATGTTATTCTTCATTTTGACATTATTGAAAAATGAAAAATCAAATAATGACATTTTTATTTAATAACATTGTATTATTATTTTCTTCCATGTTGCTAACATTTTTCTCCTTTTATTTCATTGTTGATAACTATTTTTTTTAATAATCAAAAGGTAAAAAGTGTAATAATTGTAAATCATAATTCAACAATGATCGAATTAATATTAAATTAATTAAATAAAAATAAATAATAAATATTGAATAATAATTAAATATTAATTAAAAAATTGCGAACTGATATTGAAATAAAAATTATGAATTAATAAATAAATAATTATTCATTTATCAATGTTTATTTATTAACGATTTTTAAAAATTTATTTATTCCTTCGATGTAAACATAACTATTTTCTAAAAATTAGAAACAAAAAACATATTTTTGAAAATTTAAATATTACCTAAAAACGTTAATATAAGCTTTTTTAAAAATATTAATTTATTTGCAAAAATTGTATCATTTTTTATTTATTGTATTTGTAAATTAAATTAGATAATGGTAATTTTGTATATTTTTATGGTAATTTTGTCTCAATCTTCGAGAGATTTGTTTATCAATCTACAGCACCGTTAATCATTTTGTCGTTGTGCGTAGTTTCGTGAAATTTTGAGTAACGAGACTATTCAACTGTCCTACACACACGTTTCACTAACCAAACTTTTATAAATTCACACTTCAACGACTGTGAAATTAATTTTTCATTAACCCACATTGAAAGTTTATCTTCATTACAGTAAACAAAAAGTATAATTAATAATAAATAACAAAAATTAAAAAATAATTTGTATAAATAAATTTCATAACTATTACACACTTGATTCTGTAATTAATCTAATTTTTTTTATTCAACGTTAAAAGTTTACAATTTAATAAAGTAAATTTTTTACTAAAATTGTAAGTTAATTAGATTTATTATTCAAAAGTTTAATTTCCACTTTGTTTATTTTATTTTTTTCATAATTTCCCTTTTTTTGTTGTAATTAATTTCTAGACACTTTATTTCAAAAGACACAAATTTGAAAATGAATTAAATCGAGAAAGTGTGTAACATAAAATCTCTCAACCATTTGAAATTCACTAATTTCTTTAAATTCTGTCTCTATAATTAGTTGTAATTACAAGAGTTTTTGATTTAAATTGAGGAAATGCTTTTAACTTTTATTAAAAAAAAAAAAATTTTTATTTTCTCATAAAATCATCGCTTTAATCTAGTATTTTATGTTTAATCAAAAACTATGTAAATAGCTTTCCACAATTTTTGATCTTAAATAAATATTTTACAAAGATTTATAATTAATTGTAATAAAACGTAGTAAAAAGAGAATAAATATTTTATGTAGAACATGATTTTTTGTGTGTGTGGAAATCCTTTTAATTACTTAAGGTCAATAAAAAATTACTCCCTCAACAGGAAAACTTAATTAATCTCTGATTTCCCAATTTTTTTTTTATATTTTAGTTTTATTTCTGTTTTTAATATTTAAAAACAAAATATATTTTGTAAACCTGTAGTATACATTTTAATATTTGATTTCGACATGAAAAATTAAAAGAGAAATTATGTAAAATATTTTTACTGAATAAATCTGCTTTGTACTACTAAAAATATAAGTAGAACTACAAATAGTCTACTCTCATTAAAAAAATTTCTACTACTCAAATTTCTAAAAATACTCTGTCTGACTAAACTTGCTTTATACTACTTTAAACAAAAAAATTTAAAAACTGTTACTACATCTCCCTATTTGTGCCTTGTACTACTAAAAATAAAAATATTCTAGTCTGATTAACAAAAATTTCTACTACTAAAATATTTGAAGAAACTTTGTCTGACTAAACTTGACTTGTACTAATTAAAATAAAAAGACACCTATGACTATTCTAGTCTGATTAAACTTGCTTAGTACTACTTAATAGAAAAAAATCTACAAATATTATTGTTTGATTAAAAAAAATTATTTTTACAACGTAAGTATTTAAAGAATTAACTCAGTCTGACTAAACTTGCCCTGTACTACTTAAAATAAAATGACACCTCCAAGTATTCTAGTCTGATTAAAATACATTTGTACTACTTAAATATAATGACAATCCTTACTCATTCTGACTACTTTCTTCTACTTGAAATGAAAATACAAGCACGAGTATTCTCATCTAATTAAAAAGAAATTCTACTAGTTATTTATTTTTTAAAAACTATCACTCTGTCTGACTAAATTTTTTTTGTGCTACTGAAAATAGTATTAAAATTAAGATAGTCTTGTTAATTTAAAACAAACTTTTTTTATTTAACTAGAAGAATCAGGGAATTTTCGAACTCAATGACTATTACTAGAATTTTATTTTTCTATTGATTATAACATTGTTATTATTTCTGTATAGCTAAAATTAACTTTTGCTACTTAAATACAAAAAATTAACTCTGTCTAACAAAACTACTCTTAACTACTGATAATAAAATTTAGTAGCGTCTGCTGAAAACAAAAATCTTCTACTTACTATAAACTAAATAAAATTTTACTTCTTAGTCTGACTAATCGTGTAAGAAATAAACAAATTAACAAAATAACTAACAAATAAATTATTTTTGTAAAAAAAGCAGTAAACATTTTAACATTTTATATCGAAATACAAAAAAAAATTTCGATGACTAATTTTCTTTTTTGCACAGCTATGCAAATAAAGTTTCCCACTGTTCGATATATAATAAATATTTTTCCGCTTACATAATCGCGGGCAACGTAAACAGAAAATTTAAGTCGCAATTAAACGGCAGCCAACGAACGTAAAAGTAAAGTAGTAGGAGATGGGGTTGAAGGAGGGTGGGGTGGGGGGGGGATTTACGCGAACCTGAGTAGGTAGTTGTAAATTATTGTTTTAATTTCTGCGCCACCCTGGCGGGCGTCTCGAGAGAGAGAGAGAAAGAGAGAGAGGGGGAGAGAAAGAGTGAGTTTCTAGGGGAGTGCCGGGCTAATTTTATGGACTTGCAAATCCATAAAGTCCGTTAATTTGCTTAAGTGGTACGCCGGGTTTCCGACCGATTGTTAATTCCGCGCGGTTGCGGGAGATCGATTTCGCGCGAAAGTCATTATTCCTCTCGTTAGAGAGCACTGTCATTAAAGTCACGTGTAACTCAACAATTTTGATTACTTGTATTAGCGACAGTATAATAATTATGTGAAATTACACTAATGAGTCATTTTGTGCTTGCGTGTTTAATGTAACGAAAATCTTTTGCCAACGATTATAAATCAAACATCATTCACACCACTGATTTAATAAATAAACACATAAATTATGAGATACTTTTGTCTGATTAAAAATAATTCTTGACTATTTGGAGAGGAAAAATTTTTTTCTTTTAAATATGTCTAGTGTGTCTGACTAAAATTGATCTTTACTACTGATTTTAAAAATAAATTTTTTACCTACTACTGAAAATTATATTTTTATGTAAAGTTTCTAACAAAAATCTACTGTTTTCAACTCTACTAAATTTGAACAAAATATGAACTATGTGTCTGACTAAAATTGTCCTTTACTACTGATTTTACAAATAAATTTGTTCTGTACAACTAAAAATTATATTCTTGTACAGTTTGTAACAAGCTTCTATTGTTTCCTACTCTAGTAAATTTAAACAAAATTAGAACTATGTGTCTGAATTATAATTAAAATTCAGTTTTTCAAAGTGAAAGTGATTGACTTTTTGCTTTTGAATTATTAAATTTTAATAATTTAGTAGAAATGATTATTCATTAATAAAATTAGTAAACATTTACTAATAAATTAGTAGAAATTATTATTTATTAGTGAAATTAGTAAATTTTACGAATAAATTATTAGCAGTCTGTCTACTGCTATACAAATACAAGAAGAAAAAATTTACATTAATGTCTAACTAAGCGTTGACTTGTACCACTCGTGAATAATTATAATTTTCAAATTAATGTCTGACTTACCCAATTTCTACTACTTTATAACAAAAATTAAAAATTCATCTCTAAGTACGAGCAAATTTGACTTTTACTAGTGATTAAAAAATTTTTATTTGACGCGTCTGTCGTAAAGGAAAGTCTGCTACAAAAATACAAAAAAAAATCGCATAAATTTGTCTGTCTACTTTACTGATAATAAAATTAAAATTTCATTTTACTGAAAAAAAATCTTAATTACAAAGTTAAATAATTTTTATTGAAATACTATTTAAGGAAGATTACCTTAGATATTTATAATGAATTTTTATTTTAATTACGAACGAAAATAAATAAAATTTGAATTTTGTCTGACTAAAGCTAGTTTCTACTACTTATATACAAATATTAAGTTATTACTCTAACTAAAGTTGACTTGTACTATTTACTAGTAATATTTTAATTACTATGAATTTAGTCTGACATAAAAAACGTTTTACTACTTGTAGACGAAAAAAATAACATTAGGTGCTTGTCATTAAAATTGACTTGTGTTGCTGTTAATAACTTTCCAATTACTACAAATTTTGTCTCACATTAAAACTAGTTTCTACTGATTATATACAAGAATATAAAGTCTGACTAAAGTTGACTTTTACTACTGTTATAATAATTTTTCAGTTATTACGAATTTTGTCTGACCGAAATTAGTTTATACTACTTATACACAATAATAATAAATATTATAATACTAGTCTGCCTAAAGTTGACTTTTACTACTGTTAGAATAATATTCCAGTTACTGCTAACTTCGACTGACCAAAACTTGATTCTACTACTTGTACAAAAAAAATTATATTCCTTGTCTGATTAAAATTGACTTGTACTACTGATAACATCTTTATAGTTACTACAAATATTGTCTGACTGAAACTAGTTTTTTCTACTTATTTACAAAAATAAAAAAACTAGGACAGTTGTCTGACTGAAGTTGACTTTTAATACTAAAAAAATTAGTCACGTCTGACTAAAACAACGCTACACTACTAAACAACAAAAATTAAAAATCAAATATATTTTTTTCATTTTTTCGTACACTTAACTTGAGAATTATTAATCAAAAATTCTTTTGACAATATAAATAATTTAAAAAAAATTCCCTACATTAATCCCCTTTTTTTTGCATATTATATTATAACGATTCTAAGTGATAAGACGAGAGAAAAAAAATTTGTTAACCTAACATCAAGAGTCTTAGAAATTCGAATATTCTTTAGAAAATTTCTCTTAAATCTGGAAAATTTATGAAATCAGCGACTTCCCCTACAGGGTAATTCCTTTCTAGAAGGTAAATCTTACTCCAGACTTGCTTTTGCTGAGGTAGGACTTCCTTTAAGGCAGAATTTCCTTGAATTCTTGTCACAAGAGTCATTGTTCACTAAATATATATGTAAGCATCGAGTTCCGTGACAATGGTTTTTGCCTTAAACAATTAAATTTTTTTTTGTCCTTTGTTTCACCACTTACCTAAAATTTCGGCTTTCCTCGAGTCAATTATTGGCGATGTCGCTTGCGATGTTTGTAAAATTGATTCACATCTGCAACATAGTTGAGAAATTTCCCTTTGTATTTAATTGATTTAAAAATGAAAATATTATATGTAAAAAAAGAGAACATTTAAATTTTTTTTAACTTTCTGATATTTATGAAAATGCTACCTAACAATGAAAATAAAATTTGAATTTAAATTGAAAAAGCAAAATGAGTATTTTTTAATGAAAAAGAATTGTTATTTGTTTTTAATAATAAAGGTAATTTTAAGAATTTGTAAAATTTTACAGTTTTTGTGAAATAAAAATCGTTGAATTAATTAATGTTTTGTTATTTTTATGAATTTTTTATTTTTTCTGTTCAAATATCTGTATGTGTGATAATAAAAAATTTTACCTGATTTTCATTTGACCGCTATTAATATGATGTGGTCCAACTTCGATACGTAAACTTGATATTACAACATAGAGACCGTGTTGCTGTGACATTATTATTTCAGCATCAGGATTCACCTGAAACACGAAGATAAATTGAAAATAATTTCCTGTATATTGAAATAATTTTATATTTCACAATTAATTATAAATTTCAACTAAAATTCTTATCTAATATTCGCACAATAAGTTCGATACTTCACTAATTTTCATATACTCCTCTAGACTGTCAGTTTGATTATCAATCAATTTCGCTAATAATAATTATTTACTAATTAATAATTATTTATTTTTATTTCGATTTTTTACAAATTTTAAACTTAAAATGAATTCCAAACAAGGATCAATAAAATAACGACAGCTCATTAATCTCAACATTACTCACAAGTTTAATATTCAATATTTTATTCCCAATTATATTCTCACTCGTGTGTTAAACTCGAATTTTTAAAAGGTCAATTTTATTTTAAGAATATAATATTGATCGTTGTCGCGACATTTGCTGAAATGCCAATTAAATTCTTCTCATCTACCTAAATTAATAAAATCGTCTGCTAACACAACTGCCAAAAAAAAACTTTATTTAACAATATTTGATAAATAGTTTGTTTTTTTTTTTTGCAAAATAATTCAATTTAAAACTGGTGATCATCACTGAAGACTTGGAAAAAAAAGTTATTTCCGTCTCAAATTTTTTTTTTTCTTTGATTAGAAGGAATATATAAAGAAGCTGCTGAAAAAAAGTGTAAAAGGAAGGACTAAAAAGTTTTTACAGTCAAACGTGTTTCAATTTAAGCGTTAATTGGAACTTTGGTTCATCAACTACTCAAGCTAAAGTGCACCTTGCTTTGACTTTAACGATGTTCGTCTATCGTAATCCTGATGACATCCTTAATAATAGTGTATCACTGCTACTAACGTTAAATTTTAACTTCAGAAAAACACTCTTAAATTCTTAAATCTTACTTATTTTCTTAAAAATAGTTTATCGTACAAAAAAATTATTTTTTAAAAATATATTTTAAAATATTGTCATATTGAAAGATATTTTTATTACTGTTTATAGATTTTTTTATAAATTTACATTTTTATAAATTTTTATAAATATTTTTATAAATATTTATTATTCAAATTTTTTATGGATGTATTTTATGTATATTTTTTTAACAAAACTATTTTTAAATGACTATTTCTATAATTTAAATTATCAAGTTTTTTCCTCCTCTTTTTTTTACTAAAAAGGTGAAATTAGTTTAGATGACTTATTATAATTATTTGCGTCGCTGATGTGTAGTTATCATTTTGTCAGATACAAATTCTGAATCAAACTTTATCGATAGTTTTGTATGTCGTTATAATTTTCCATCTCGACGAACTTATCTAAGAAAGAAATATTCTTGAGTATAAAAAATTACGAATTTTTTTTTCTATCATTTCTATAGACATCAATACAATAATAAAAAGAATATTCGCCCATTAAATCAAATCTGCTTGGATATTACAATTGAATACCATTTTCAAGAGTATTCTATACAAAATTGTGACTCTTCAGTTTCGTAATAACAAAAATGACAGAACAACTCAAATTCATTTTTATATAATAATTTTAAAATTTTATTATTACTTTTGTAAAATTTTTTATAAATATGTATATAAATAAATATATTTATAAATTTATAATTATTATATTATATTATTAAATTTTTATTATTACTCCAAGCTGAAATGTAAATGTACCTGTTGATTACCGTATCGGATAATATGGGATAACTAATTTATTGTTCACGAGATTATTAATTATTAATAAAGCATTATAAGAGGCTTACCTGAATACCATTAATGAACCATCTCAAAAGACTTTTGGGATGTGTTTTTCCGCTGGTGCAATTCAGTGAGAGATTATCTCCACTTGCATAAATATTTTCTTGACCGGTAATTATCGGTCCATCCTGTGGTAAAACTGTTTGAAACATAAAGAGAAAAAAAAATTTTCTTTTTACATTATAAAAATTAATTTAAATTAAATGCAATATTATTTATATATATATATATATATATATATATATATATATATATATATATATATATATTCTTTTTTTTAAATTACTAATTAGGTATTTATTTCTTTTAAAAAAGATAAAAAATCTATAAATTATAAATTTTTACTTAAAACTAAGCGAACTTAATTTTCCGTGAAATATTCATGTGCCCGGAAGTTATAAATGATTCCTTTCAGTTCACTAGAACCGAACAATACATTGCGGATTAACATATATACATATATAAATTCGAATGTAAGTTACTTTCGAAATATCGGTTAAAATACAAAATGGATATAATGTACGAAAATAAGAGAAAATACGTTTGTAATTATTAGTATTATTATTTATTATTATTATTAAAAATAATAATAAAAATGTTACAAAACATTATTATTATTTTTTTATTGCTATTAGTTTTTTTTAAACATTTAAAGAAAAATAGGGAGAAATCGATTAAAAAGTGATTATTTTTTATTATTGTTAGTGCTTGGAAAAATTAATGAAAACATAGCGAAATATGATTTAAAGAAAATTATTATTTTTTTTAATATTTTCAGTGCTCAAAATTTTAAAAAAGAAAAAATTTTTTTTTACTATTCCCACATCAAAAATTTTATGGCAGTACCTCCTGCAAGTTCCATGGAACTTCTCCATGGAATTATTTAGAAAAAGTGTTGATAAAATTAAAATTTAAAGAAGACAGTAAATTATTTTCATAAATAATAAATTTTTTTACCGAGATTAAATTATTTTAATGAATAATAAAACTCATCATTGAATTGCAATTACTTTTAATACAATTTCAATCAAATTCCTCAAAAATGTAATTATTCTTGAAAATATTATTAAAATTCGTCGAAAAAATTAAATTACTTAAAAATTTGTTGATAAAATTATTTTTTGAGGATTCAATTTTAAAAAACATTCATTTATTCAATAAATTATTTATTTTTGTATTTAAATAATTGAATTCTCGTAGAATTTTCTAATAATAATTGATTTTCATTTCATAAAAATGAATTTCAGTTAAAATTTTACATAATAATTGAATATTAAAAGCATTATAGCATAAATTTTAAAAAATAATTAATTTTTGGATATTTTTGAAAATAATTATATTATTCGAAGAATTTATTTTAAATTGTATTAAAAATAATTGAAATCCAGTGAAGAATTTTATTATTCATGAGAATAGTTGAATTCTTGCAACGAATTTTTATTACAATTTTTTTAAATAATTAAAATTTTGTAAAGAACTGAATTATTTATGAAAATAATTGAATTTATGCAACGCGTTAATTTTTTTTTTTAAATTGAATTCATTTAAGATATTTTATTAAAATAGTAGATATTAAAAATATTTAAATTTCAGCGAAGAATTTCATTATTTGTGAAATGTAATTGAATTCTTGCAAAAAATTTTTTAAAATAATTACATTTTTTGAGGAATTTATTTAAAATTATATTAAAAATAATTGAATTCCTATGAAAAATTTTATTTATTAAAATAATTGAATTCTTAGAACGAATTTTATTACATTGTTTTAAATAATTGAACTCATGTGAAAAATTGTATTACTTATAAAAATAATTGAATTCTTGGGAAGGATTTTATTAACATTTTTGTAAATAATTTAATTTTTTTTTAATTTTATGGTAATTTAAATTAATACAAAACATGAAGATATATTTCTTATAATTTGTTGAATTTCATAAAGGTTTGAATTTGAAATTTTCTGAAAATCTTAATTCCTGTGGAATAATAATAATGATTAAATATTTATTTAAAAAAGAATTTATTGGTATTTTGGAATAATTTTACAATTAAAAAAATTTGTAATTAAATGTAATAAAACAGTTTTTTGAGTATCTTATCATTTTTAGAGTGAATCAAAATATTCTTTAGGGTCAGGGAAAAATTCAAAATTTTGTTCGGAAATCAGGGAAAAAAGTCAAGGAAATTCTGTAAGTTTTTTATTTTAATAATATTTTAACATTTGTTTTATGATTAGAGTCTAATAATAAGCTTTGTTGCAATTTTTTTTTAAATGCGTATTTTATTCAAGTTTTGCAAATAAATTGCAACAAAGCTTATTATTAGACTCTAATCATAATAGAAATGTTAAAATAATATTAAAATATAATAAACTTGCAGAATTTCTAGGGGGTACTTCCATGGAATTTTTCGACATGGGTTTTCAGAGCTTTATATTTTGAAAAGGAAAAAAAAAAATATTTTTACTATTTTCAGTACTTGAGATTTTTAAAAAGAAAAAAAAATTTTTTTGTATTATTTTCAGTGCTTGAGATTTTTCTTGAAAAAGAAAAAAGTATTTTGTTTTGTAATTTATTTTTATCGCTGTTTTAACAACAAATTTATTGTTTGTTGACTATGGGGAGTTGAACCCCTTGATCTTTAGTTTACGAAACATTTAAATCATCTGCGTCCTCGCATTCAGTTGTTCAGTTATAGTATCATTGGAGCAAGGCACCATCTGTAAAGTTGTAATTTGCCTAGTTTAGCTCGTTTTAGTTTGTGTTTCAACTTTAAGTGTATCAACACACACACATGACGAGTAATAATTCTAGTGCCACAGAATCTCGTTTGAAAATATTGATTTAAACTCGACTAGGCAACAAAGGAATAAATAATAATATAATTTTTGTGCCGCACGGTAACCCACGTTAACAATTACCAGGGTTAAAGTTTAAAAAAGTTATATTATAAAAACTATTAAATATAAGAAAATAAAATAAAAAAAAGAATAAAAAAAAAATTTGTTATAATTACTATTTTATTTTTATTATCATATTTTAATTTCAATTTTCCCAACGGAAAATTATGAATATTTCACGAAATTCATAATTAGGGGATGAAGATAAAAGTTTTTTTTTCTATCAACATAAAATATGGAAGTCAACTTACCAATAACCTCCATATATTCCTCCTTTTGAGAAGTTTCAAAGTCTGGCCGATCTACACTAACTTCGCACTTATATTTCCCCGCAGCATGAAGTTCTACGTGCTTAAGATGCACCTTTTGATGATCGGAACGCACCAGCTATAACAAAAAAATGTGAAAAAAAATTCTTTTTATTTCCTTTCACAAAACAGAATCGAAAATAAACACAATATTTCTTCTAACATTTGAAATTAAATTTTAATAAAAACTTTTCTATATGCAATTTAATATACTATATATATATATATATTTGCATACAAAACTCGATGAAACTTTATCAGATACAATACTATTGTAAATTCTTTTCTGCTTATATAAGCTTTCTTCTTCATTTTTCTTTTCTTTTGTGAACAAAAATTGTTGGATTTATATGTCAACAAAATTTTTAAGGTAAATGCAAAATATTAATATAACAATTTTTTCGGAAAAGAAAAAGAAGAAAACAGTAACAGAAGTAGAATCAATTATTTTTTATCATAAAAATGTTGTATTCATTAATATTTTATTTAGAGAAACAGAATTAACATTTATGATCGGGAAATACAAACTGTCTGACTAAAGATGTTTTATACTACTGCTATTGCTTTGATTAGAAAATTTTTAATTAAAAAAATTTAGAACTAATATTGAAGTTCACTACTACTACTTATCGACCTGTTGAAAATAAAATACATTATTTTTTAATTTTCACTCGCAATTTAAAATAACTCGTCTGACTAAACCGGTCATTTACTACTTATTATACTATAAAGTGAAGTTTTAGAAATAGAAATGTTCGTCTGACTAAAATAGCATTACTACTTAAAGTAATTTAGCCAAAATATTAAAAATAAACGAAATGTCTGACTAAATCTGAAATCTAAAAAAATGGTTTATTTAAAAATATATTTACTACTAATTTTATTAGTGTTATTCGTGTTATTGAAAAAAATCCCTTTGTCTGACTAAAATTGACTAATACTACTGTCATATTAAAAATATAGGAACAATTCGTCTGACCGAAACTACTTTTATTACTGCAATTATTTCTAAAAGAAATATTTTACAAAAAAAAATTTTTCAGATTAATTCAAAATAAAAAATTACAATAAATATGAGTTAAAAATTTTTTAAATTAAAAAATTTTTTGTTCGTGATATTAAAGAGAAATTTAGTAAAAATATGAATGACTGACTAAAAGTATATATAGTACAACTGAAATAGTCTTAGGTTACTAAGAAAAAAATGGTCTATTCGAAAATTTCCGTTCCTACAATTTTTATGTCAGTCATGAAAATAAATCCCATTGTCTGACTAAAAAGGTATATTACTACTTGAATAAACTTGGACTCGAAGGAAAAGAAGAATTGTCTGACGAAATATTTTTTTTACTACTGTTTCTACTTTGTTGATTAAGATGACACCTTGTCATCTTTTGTCAAAAAAATATTTTATTTTAATTTATTTTATTTTTAATCATAAACGGATTTAGATAAATAAACCCTTTCGTTTATTTATCCCTTTTAATTATAAAATAAAAGTTTAAAATATGATTCAAAAAATGATTGCTATAAATGTGAGTAAAAAAATGTAATTAAAAAATTTATTATTCGCGATATTGAAGAGAATTTGACTGAAAATATTAATGTCTGACTAAAACTGTATGTTACTACTGTTAGTGTTAAAGAAAAAAAATTTCAAACTCAAATTCAAAAAATAAATACCTAAAGTATTATTAATATGAGTTGGAAAATTTGGCACTAAAAATTTATTATTCATGTTTTTGAAGAAAACTTGACAAAAAAGTATGAATAACTGATTGAAATAAATTTAGCTTTCAGGAAAAAAAATTGTCTATTCAAAAATTTCCTTTTTTAGTATTTTTAAGTAGATAAATTCCTTTGTCCGACCAAAATTGCCTATCACTACTTAAGTACTCAGTTGGTACATTTCGTCTGACTAAAACGTCTCTTACTACTGCTCTTATTTCCAAAACGACCAAAAACTATTATAAAATAAAATTTTAAAATTAAATTCGAAATAATTTTGAATAAAAATGTGCAATAAGTATGAGTAAAAAAATTTTTTCAATAAAAAACTTATTATTCCCGATAATAAAGAGAATTTTATCTTGAAAATTTGATATTTTAATGTATTCGTGAATATATTGCATGAAGAAGAGATAATCGAAGTCGATTATATATTGAGGGCGAAAATACCTTGAGGCTTAGCACAAATCTCGTTGAGACTATATATATATATATATATGGTTGGAATTTCCTTTTCTCATTAAACACACTTTTTTCGAAGAAACAAAGAGTTATCAAGAGGAGGCTCTCAATTTGAATTTAGTATTTACGTTTGCATACTATCGTGTCAATGTGGTTAACAACGGCTTCGTGTATACTTTTACCAAGTATTGTCAGAGTTAAGTACTTTATGGAATACCCGAATACCAAAATGTAACAAGAGAAGATACAATGCTCAGAATAGATAGAATCGCAATGCTGATAATCCATTTACTTTGCCGCAGGGCTTTTCACTTGGAATACTTTCTCTCTAAACTCCCTCCCTCTCCACCTTGCCCCTTACCACCCCTTCTCAACATCCTACCTTTCTTTTCTCTTCCTCATTTCCTTTAATGTCTCATTGCTTTGAATGTTCCGTAATGTGATCGAAAAACCGTAAAACTGTTCATTACAATATAATATTACAAGAGATGAAATGACTTTACTTGAAAGCAAATTTTACATCTTTGTTATATACTTTTTTATATTTCCTATTTTCTAAAAAAAAAATAATCATTATTTAATTAATTAATTTAATTAGAGATTAATGATTCATAATTTTTTACTAATAAATTTTTACTCAGATATAAAAAACGTACGTAAACAATTACAAACATTTGTGTTAATTTTGTCTATTTTAATAAATAGCTTTTTACATTTTTTTTATTAAAATAATTTTTTTTTATTATTTTATTTTATTTTTTGAAATTTATATTTCTGATGAAGTTTTTAACCAGAAAAATGAAAATAAACAAAATTTAAGAACAAGATGAAAATTAGTTCTTGAAAAAAAAAATAATTGTAAAAATATTTTGTTTATTCTGTTTTATGGCATTGAGTTTTTTTTTTGCCCTTAGTTTATATACTCAGTTCCAATGAGTTTGACGTTCGATAAAAAGCAAGTAAACTTGATATATATAGATATAAAAAACGAAAAGTCAATAGAAAGAATCAGTCCTCTTGGAATTAACAGACGAGTTCATCTACGAGAAAGTGAAAAAAAGTTCAGGCAAAAGATAAGCACGCGGTAACTTCCTCAAAGCGTCTGAGATTGTTTACCGCCATCGCTTTAACGGAAGTTTCACCCCCTCGAGAGTCGAGAGAGTGAACTTCCATTGGATGAAAAGTTCATAAGTTAAAAGGAGAAAGAAATAGTTTCCAAACTCAGTGCAAAAAAAGAGGAGAGTAAGAGAGAGTAAGAGAGAGATCTCTGATAGCTCGTAAATGCCAAGTGCTGTTGATTTCATCTCGATGAAATTTCAAAAGAGACTTTTTCAAAAAATAATATTTAAAGCAACTCCAAGAACAAGATTATTTTAAATACAGACTTTTCGAATTTAATTAAAACTATTTTTTTTACTATTATTATTTTTATTTTCGTCATAATTATTATTATTATTTCTATTATTTTTATTATTATTATTTTTATTTGTATTTTTATTACTGCCCAAAAAAGCACGCGAACTGCTTCTTCTTCCTTAGAACTATACTTATTAATAAAATTTTCAAATTTCGTTTAACATATTTATTAAATTAATGAATTATATTAATTATTCATTTTTAAAAAAACCGTTCGCAACAACAATTAATTTTTTTAAATAATAAATTTTCAAATATTTAAATTACAAAACAAAAAAAATGTATATCTTCAATTTCCAAAACGAAAAAAACAGTTAGTTTTAAATGTTAAAAATACTAAGAACTATTTAAATATTTAAAAATTAGTTAAATTAAAAACCGTAAATTTTCGACCTTATTTAACTATATTTTCAAAAATTATTAAAAAAAAAATTTTTTAATTTATTTCTTCAGAATTCTTAATTACAATTAATTAAAAAAATTTTAAATTTTAATTTGAAACGTTTTGAAATTTAATTATTTATAAATGTTGTAAACATATTTCTTGTAAAATTCAATTATTTTAAAAATATTTAACTAAAATTCTTTTTGTAAATTATTATTTTTAATAATTTTTAAGAAAGTTTTTTGAAATTTCAATTATTTATTAAAAAAAAAGAGTTCACCTTAAATAATTCTAAAATCTATTTGTTTACAATTTAATTTTACAAAATTTCTATTATTTATAAATTTTTCAATTACATTCAAAACATTCAAAACCATTTTGAATATAAAATTTTCAAATAACTAACTTCTTAAGAAATTTTAATTAAAATTATTTAAAATAAAATTAATTTCCTATTTTGTAAAGTTGATGCACAGTCAGAAACAGAAAATTTTGTATTAAAATTGGTGGTGTTTTTAAAGTTCTTAATAAATCCCCAAAAAAAAAAATTTTTTTATTTTATTTAAATCATTAATATTTTCAAAGATTGCTGGTCAACCAAAATTCAGATTTCTCTTATGAATTCTAGAATTTTTTTTGGTATAAAATGCTATTTAATTTTCGAAGGTTGTAAATTAAAAATTTTGTCCTTGTTTTATAATCAACTTCTCAAAAAGCTTTCTCAAAATTACTCAAAATAATTGTTGTAAAGAAGAATTTTAGTTAATAATTCTAAAAAATAATTGATTTTTGGAAGAATTACTGCGCTACTGTTTAGAAATAATTCAATCAATTCAGAAGATTTTAAATTGGAATTTATTGAATCAATTCGTGTTGAACAATAAATAGTAATAAGTATTTAAAATAGTTTAACAAAATTACTGATTGAATATTATAATTTAGAAATTTTGAAGAAATTAGGTTGTTGAAAAATTTTAAGTAAGATTTAATTAAAATTTCTTCCAGATAATTGAATTCTCAAAAACAATTAATTGAACAAAATTTTTAAACAATTGGAAATTTCGTTAAATTTTATTGAAAAAATTTTATTTTTTAAAGAAATCATAACCATTTTTGTAAATAGAAGCAAGGTGGGAAATTAGAGGGAATTTGGAGGATAAATATTAAACATTTAGAAAGAATTATTTGAAAATAATTAAATTTCAACTGTCAAAACTTAAAATAATTAAACTTAAAATAATTCCTTTTGAATTTCAAAATGTAAACAGAATTTTTTTTTCTATTTATAAATAAAAATTTTACTTTCAAATAAATTTTCATTTATTCGATCTAACGGACCAATTTCGTAGTGTATAAACTCATTTAGAAGATTTGATGGTTTTCGTCGAGAATTCAACCATCACTAGAAGACTTGAAGCTTGAATTATATAACCTTGTTTACGAAGAAACCTTTCCAAGTGATTTCCTTTAATTTCAAACGCCTTATTGCCAGTTATAGATAAATTGTTTAAATCGCTCCTTATTGCAAAGACTTTAATCGCATTTCCATTCAATGAGTGGAGAAAATTAATGTCCTATTTACATCAACAAATTAAATATCATCACGATTAATCAAACCTTTAAACTTACTTATTACGAAAAATTGCTCATTTCAAAAAAAAAATATTTTACTTAAAATATCACTAAGTTGAAAAAGTAAATTTTTTCTGTTAATTTAATAATACTGTATTTGATTACATTAATTTTTCATTTTTTTAAAAAAACGAAATAAAAATAGATATTAACATTTTTTTTTCTTTATTATTATAGAATTTTTTTATGTGGCAATAATTTTTAATGGGAAAACAGTTAAAGACGGAAATGAAGTCAATATATTTACTGCGAAGTGTTTGGAAAATAATTTGTTCACAAAACTGTTCATGGAAAAATAGAAATCAATATTTCTTCGAGAAAGTCATAAAGTGAAGTTTCATGAAAATAACTTAAACGAGAGAGAAAGAGTAAATGACTAAATATATAGAGTTGGCTATTATGGTCACGTGAATATTTCGTACGTATAGAAATTGACTAAAAAAAAAAATGTAGAGTGTAAAGCGAATATAAAAGTAATAATTGCAATTGTTAATTCTGTTTAATAAAATACGTTTCTTTAAATTGTTTGTCATTTCATTAATTTTTTTTCTCCTTTTTCTGTTCGATATTTATTTTCTCGTCTTTTCTTATATTCTGAAAAGAATTTTAGTGCGTAGTATATAATAGCAATAAAATTTTATTGAGGAAGCAGAAAGATATAAAGAAAAGTGCGGTACTTTTGTTTCTTTTTATCTTTTGTGCCGGAAATTATATACAGGGGCCATTATTTCTCACCAGATGTTAAAGATGTGTCAATTTTTTATTGAAAAAAAAATTGATCTTATTTTTCAAATAAAAAGAAAAATAAAAAAAAATTGATCTCTTTATTCGAACAAAAAGCGGGCGGTGTTCGTATTAATATGTTAAATAAACAAATATTAACACTTTTTTTGATAATGAATAATAAACATAAATTACATACCTAAATATTCGTATTTTTATAAATAATAAAATTTAGATAAATATTTACTATTTACAAAATGGTTATTTAATATTAATTTATATTCTATTTGGAATTTTCATACATATTGATGAATAAATCGTTCAGATTTTAATTTTAATTTTTGGAAAATTATTTCCTGCGTACTTAACCACAAATATTCGATTGAAGAGTAATTGAGAAATGCGTATTTTAGTAAGCTTGTGGTTTTTTATGTACATACATTTTGTAAAATTTAATAATCCAATCCAATGCATACTTTACATTCGTGGGTAAAATGAAAAATTTGGAGAATTATCGGTATACCGAAAGATTAATTTACAAAGTAAAATATGTTTAAAAAATGATGTAAATTATTTAGTCGAGGTAATATCACGTTTTTAAAACACATAATTATTACAAAAATGTGTATTGTCCAAAAAAAACTCTATTTCAATATTTGGACAAAATGTACTTTATATACTCCGAATTTAATTTTTCTTTCAAACGCAATTTTTAGTCCGAAAAATTGAGGTAAACTTTATATTTATTGTTTTTCTATATTTATCCATAGAGAGAATAAAATTGCTGGATTTCATATTTTAAAGCACTTTTATTTTTTTTTTTTGTTATTTACTAGTGAAAATAAAATATAAAATAAAATAAAATAAAAATTTTTAAAAGTAAATAATAAATAATTAAAGTATATAAAGTGTATGAAAAAAATGTAAATAAACACAAAACATGTGATGCAAGTTTATTACTGTTTACTGCGATAAATGAAATGGAAATAGAATTTTATTTATAGGAAAATAAACGTATTTACAAAAATTAGAAAACTTAATTTTATAATTATATATTATTTTATAATTTTTTAATTTATTGAAAAAGGAAAATATATTTTTTATTGATAAAAAAAATACTTACGTCAACTTTGACCCCATCCACCTGGAAACTATTCTTCTTCGTTTCGGACTTTGGTTTATACATATAAAATGACTCGTTGTCCTTGTACCACGAGACTGAATATAACTTATCCGACTGAAGATCATAACTGCAAAAGAAATCATTAATCTTTAAATTATCAATTCCATAAGCAATAAAATGTATTTTACTTCAGACATAAAAAAAATTCTAGTATCAATTACTTTCAAACTTTTATATTTATCCTTTCTTTTTTATATTTGCGATAACTCTTAAAAATGTAGATATCGAAATGAAATTACAGTATTATGAAAAATTTTTTTTTTTCATTTTACTAAATTATGTCTGTAAATAAAATTTCTACTTTTATTAACAATATAATATTAACTACATTAACGCTTAATTAATTTTCAGTGAATTAAATAATTTTATGTTGTTTATGAATTTAGTGAATGTCGAAACAGTCTTCCTTTATTGTTTGTTAATTATAAGTGTATTTTCTAGTGAAGTCAATTTTGTAAAGGGAGAAGTTTATGAGCATTTCGTTAATTAATTAGTTAATTAATTACTATTTCGCATTAGTGGACAGTTGCAAGTTACAAGTGTACTCTTCCATTTGAATTTACGTTTATTCAACAAACATGCTTGTTCATTCTTCACAATAAATTAAGCCCTTAATTGTTAAATTTCATGTAGTGGATAAATTAAAAAGGAAAAAAAAAATTTTATTACTTTTTTCTCACGAACTAAAATTACTTACAATTTTTTTTTTTGAACAGATTGTGATTGATAATAATATATGTTGAATATTTTCTTTCTCATGGGATTATAGTTACAAGTCTAGGAAGCTGTGTAAATGCATAAGAGAAGAGGTAACTAATAATTTGAGTAGGATGAGGAAAACGTATTTCGAAATCCGCCCTCCTCGTTGTATGAATAACCAACTATTTGCAGTTCACAACTGATGCCCAGAGTTAAATTTATACTCAAGGTACTTTTGCAATTAAATTCTATCTCAGAATAATGTCTACAAAAGCTGATGATTGATTCGCTCAAATAACTGTGAGTTAAACTTTATTCAACACTGACTCGACATGGTATAAACTGGGTACTAAAATTGCTTGATATCTTATTCATTGAATTTAAATACTATCTGTACAATGTAAGATCACTTGTCGGACTAAAATTGTCTTTTACTACTGAAATTTTAATTTCCTTACAGGGACAAATTGTTTTCTAAAAATATTTCTCACTAAAACTTTTCATATTTTTATTACTAATATTTTCAGTAGTGATATTCTTTTTTTTATTTAGAAGATGTTTATCTTCTAAAACCTCTTGTCTGACTAAAAGAAATTCTCACTACTTTTATTATTTGTAGATTAAAAATTCCGATTGTTGTGAAACTGGTTACTTTTTATTTATAATTGCTTTAATACTCCTAAATTTTGAAAAACCGGTCCGCCTAAAACGTACGTTACTACTAATTATAAAATTGCAGAGATAGAAACCTAAAAAAAAGTAAAAAAAAATTGTTAAATATTTTTATTTTTAAAATGAATCAATGATAATGATGAAATTAAATGAATTATAAAGTTAAAAAGTATAAAAGTGTATAAAATAGTGAGTCTGACTAAAACTTACTATTACTACTGCATTAGAATGTTAAAAATATAAAATCCTCTCGTCTGACTATAATCGTTGTATACTACTAATTTATCAATTATTGACATTAGCTTGAAATAAATTGTAAGAGTCTTTGTCTGATTAAAAAACTATGAATTCTCACTATACTCATATAACTTGAACTAAATTGTAAAAATTCGTCGTCTGGATAAAAGTGTCTGTTTCTACTTATCTGACAATGAAAGAAGGAACGTAACAAAAATTAATCTTTTTTAGTTTAAAAAAGATGTTCAACTATAATTACATATTTTACGACTGATTTTTGAATTGAAAAGATGAAAAACTACTTAAAAACTGATCTACCAAAACTGATACCAAAACTGATAAACAGAAAATTGTAGGGTGTTAATTTAATCTATTTTGGTTTTAAAATAACACCCTGCAATTTTCTGTAAAAATATTTTAACTTTAAGGTAAAATATAAAAAGTAGATTTAATTCATTATCGGTCTGACTAAAAATTATTTCTACTACTGAAATTATATTTCCTTAGAGAAAAAAGCATTTGTCCGACTAAATATTGAGTTTACTACTGGAACAGAAACTACTGAAATCAATTTTGCTAATAAAAAGTGCTGTTTGTCTGATTAGAAATGTTTTTTTTTATTACTGATACCTAAACCTTCTTTTGTTCAAATAAGATGTTAAATTAAAACTGTATTTTAATACTAATTTTTAAATTGGAATGATAAAAAAACTACTTTAAATTATGTAAAAACTGATAAATATTTTAAGCACAGAGTTTGTCTGATTAGAAACATTTTTTACTACTGATATAACGTAATCTACAATTTTAAAAATTCTTTGAATGACTCAAAATGCTTTCTTCTACTTAGTTAATAAAAAAATAAAAAATTAAACAAGAATAAAGGTTTTCTGGGTCATCAAAATTAGTACTTATCAAAATTCATTTATTTATTCATTTGTGGATGAAAAAACAGTTTTTGTAAAAAAAACAGTAATTGACGGAAACTGTCATTACTACTACTATCTCAACATGAACTATATTGCGAAAAGTATTTGTCTGGCAAAAATACCAATTACTACTGACATAACTTGAATTAAATAATAAAAATAATTTGTCTGACTAAAATGTCCTTCTACTACTTATCTACTAATAAAATGAAGAATGAAACTACAATAAATGTTTTCTGGTTGATTAAAAGTTTATTTATTTACAACAACTTACTACTGATAATATTTATATTTAGAAGAAGAAGAAGAAGCCATTGTCTGATTAAAATAATTTTTTATTAATAAAAAAGGTCTTTTACTATTTTTAATACTTTTACAACTTTGGTTAACTCTTATTTTTTATTTTATTTTTTTTTAATGTTTATACTATTATGTTATTAATCATTCTATTAAGATAAGGAATATTGTTTAAAAAATTGTTTTACTAAAACTGTATTTTACTACTGATCTTTTTTATAAATATAGAAATCATCTAAAACATATCTCAAAAAAGATTATACTTTTTTTTAAATAAAATATAGACAGTTAAAATTTGAAACATCAAGCGTCTGACTAAAGAATATTTCTACTTCTAAAATTGAGTTGAATAAAAAAACAAATAAAATATAATAAATAATATAATAATAATACAGTAATATAAATATGATAAATAATAATAATACAATAAAAAATAATATTAGATTCCATATTGATATATATATATATATATATATATATATATATATATATATATATATATATATATAATATAAAATAGTCCGACTAAAACTGCCTTTTACTACTGAGTTAAAATGTAAAAAAATATAATTTTGTCGTCTGACTATAATTGTCGTATACTACTAATTTCTAACCACCTCTCATTAACTTGAAGTAATTTGTAAAAGTCGTTTGTCTGACTAAAAATATCTACTACTACTTATATGTCAAGAAAAGAAAGAAAAAAACAAATAAAAGCTTTCTGGTTGATTAAAAATTTATTTATTTATTTACCACAATTTACTTTGGGAATTATACGTATAAAAGATTTAATTTCTAAAGAAAACAAGAATTGTCCGACAGTGTTTCTCTTTTTAATTGCATTCCTTATTGGATTTAATTAATAAAGATGATATAATACCGCCAGGAGTTTTGGTACTATGTCAGATAGTCAGCATAGTCTAACTTGAGGTTTGGACCACTACAGTGAGATGTACCCAAGGGGTGCATCCAAGTGGATGCTGGAAAAGGGATTGTTGCAGTCAAGCGTAGGAGCACAATTTGGAGCTTTGCGTCATGGGATTGATTTGCATCCTCTGGCTCATTTGACGGGTAGTGTCCTTTGGGATTCTAGGTTTCTCTCTCCCCCTCTCTTACTCTAGCGTACTTCACATCTTCAAAGTATCTCATATCATCTCCATTCAACTTCCTGATTTCAAAAGACACATCAATTTTCAACATTTCATTCAGTTCAAAGTAACTGATACATTTTCTTCGGAAAATTTTATAAGCAGATATCAAATGCTAAATGTAAACATATATTTTATCAATAATAATAAAAATAACAATAATAATAATAATACAGCAAAGAAATGAAATATTTTTTAATCTGTCTTATCTTTATATTTTTTCCCAACATTGTTTTACAGATTTATGAATTTTTTTTTAAATTTCTATTTTATTTATTAAGAGAAGAGAAAAATATCTTTTCTTCAAAGAAATAATTTTTATTATGAAGGAAAAAAAAAAGTTTTTTATTAAATTAATTGCTTTTGTTTGGGTTTAAATATTCAATGGATTATAAGACAATGGAGATATTGAAAGTTGTAGAAGCATAAAGTATGCGGTAACGAAATTTACAGAGTTATAGAAGAAAATGCTTTCTCATTGAAAATGTATTTATTCTTATTCGTCCTATGAATAAGGATTTCTTTCTCATTTATTTGAAAAGATTTTAAAATAAAAATCTCTTTTTTTTAGATTCAAAATTCATGTTTTACTTTCTTTTCGGTAAGATAATGTATTAATTTTTGTGAATATAATAAGATTGAAAAATAAAAAATTATAGTGATCGAATTATATTTTTCTGTTTATTCTACTTTTTTTTATTAATTTTATTGTCAGTGGGTTATATTATTGAAAGATAGGATAATAAAAATGATTGCTTGTTATGTACGATAACAAGTTGTTATTTGTGTCGAAACGGTATTGTGCGGGTATTCTTTGAAAGTTTTCTTCTATTTTTCTTCCTTCTCTTTTCCTTAACTTACATCTCTTCATTTTTTAAGTCGTCAAGACATATACTGTGTTCGGAGATGAAGACGTACGAGCTTTATCGTCATCTCTTCTGAAGTACCAGGGAAAGAGTTTGAATTATTATTCAAAGTGAGATAGAAGGAGAAAATGGGGTAGAGATATTCATCGTTGCGTGAAATCTACTGTAGGAGTTATTGCTTTAACAAAAAAAAAAAAAAAGAAAACAAATAACAAATAA